GCAATTATTTAACGCATTTAATAAGAAAACAATGAAGCAATATCTTTCCTTCATTAAATGTTGGTTAGTTTGATTGTTATTGATACAAAAATTATAAAAAATGATTTAAAAATTATAAAAAATAATCTTATAAAGAATTAATATCGATTGAATTTCATAAATTATAAATAAATTTTAATAAATCAATATTATTTTTTTCTAAAGTAATTGATGAAAATATCATTTTATCCATATAAGGGCACACTTGTCCACCTCAGAACGTCGTGATTTTTTAAAAAAGCATGCAACTTTACTGGAGGGGGTAAGAGTAGGAGGAATAATTAACAGCAGAAAATGTTGACTTAGGATAAGGTTGAGGGCGTTATGGAATTGAATACGAGTAGTAAAAGTTTGTGTGAGTGATTTGAAGAAAAAGTGTGCGGTGGGGAAAAGGACGCGAGTCCCTCAAGTGTCCGTAAATAGAAAAAGCTGCTACGTCTGGCCCCTACGAGGCGACACTCACCTCTATTGCCTTTTCAACTACCCAACTCACCTAATTCTTCCTTTTTCCATGTTTATCCTACAATCGCCATGTGTCTTCCACTCAATTCTTCGTTTCATTATTTAAATTATTTAAAGCTAATTAACATTAGGTACTTCTTCTTATCCTCTTTACAAGAGTTATGGTTCCGTTAAGAGAATAGATTTTTAATTTTGCCCTTATTTAAATAAATTTTTTAATTTAATTTATATTATATTATCTTTTATAATTAATAAATTTAAATAGATCTAATATTAAATTTTTATATCAAGTATATTAATATTCAATATTAAAATTTTTTTAGTTTTAGTTTAATAAATAAATAGTAATTTTTAGATAATTCAAAAATTTTATAGATAATCAATAAAGCATGATTTATTTTGTATCTTGTTATAATAAAAAATAATTACTATTATGTGTTTTCTTAGATTTTAGAATATCATTGTATATTTTTATTTATAAAAATATTTATTATTTATTTTTTTAAAAAATTATATTTTTTTTTGTATTTTTATTAGGAGAAGGTCAAGCAGTTAACTTTAAATTATTTAAAAAAATATGCAATTTTTCATTGAAAAAACTTAAACAAGAGGCTCTAGATATAATATTAAATTTTCATATCAAGTATATTAATATTCAATATTAATTTTTTTATTTTTAGTTTAATATATAAAGAGTAATTTTTAGATAATTCAAAAATTTTATAAATAATCAATAAAGCATGATTTATTTTGTATCTTGTTATAATAATAAAAATAATTATTATTAAATGGTTTTTTTAGATTTTAGAATATCATTGTATATTTTTATTTATGAAAATATTTATTATTTATTTTTTAAAAATTATAATTTTTTTGTGTATTTTTATTAGGAGAAGGCTCAAGTACTTAACTTTAAATTATTTAAAAAAATAAGCAATTTTTCATTGAAAAAACTTAAACAAGAGGCTCTAAGGATTGTTTTACTTCGAAAATTGTAAAATTACTTTTTCAAAAAAATTACCAGACAAACACTAAATTTCGTTAAGAAAGGTATACCATTATATATAATTTCTTTGGTAAAAAATATACTATAAGATATTTATAATTAAATTTTAGTTTTAATAAAGTAATTATTTATCTTTAAACTATATAATATTTTTATATTTACTCTTATTTAATAGAATATTTTATTTTAAAATAAACACAAAATAATTTATTTATTATGAATACTAAAAAAACACAATAGTTATATTTTAAAATATTAAAAAAGCTTTACACTTTTAAATAGTTAGAATAAACATGTGGATATTTTTCTTAAGATTGCTCTTGCACCATCAGTAATATATCAATGGCCTTTACAGAGATTTTAGATCGGAATGCAACGTGTGTGTGTATATATACATACACCTCCTAAGAAGCTTAATTATAATATTATTGTGTACTTGTGCAGTGTTTAATTATTTAATTTAATTTAATTACTTCAATGCGATGCATATAATCGTGTATGTCACGTTTGTCGGATATATCGAAACAATAATACGCGTTCTCTTTGGACTAAGTGCCTGCGCGATTGTGATTCGTTTTTACAATTACCGTCACTTAACAAGTTCGACACCTTAATCTTTTCGAAGTCACACAAAAAAAAAAAAAAAATTGACCGACATGTCGAAACAATTAATGCATTTGTCCTTGAAGGCTTTGTGAACTAATCTTCCATCTTTTGGAAAATTTAAATGTGTCGATGTTCTCTCTTCACAATAAAAAAAAAAAAAGTGACGTTCTCCAGATTTAGTTACTCATGCAAAATGAAGATAGGGTAAAATTTAGTTGTTTAACTATTTTCTTGTAGCTTATCTCTGACACATCTTCAAGTGATATTTTTTTTGTTAATTATTAGTAAAATAATATCCGTTGAATTATTTTGTCATTGATGATTATTTTTGTTTACTTCCCTGATTTTTTTCAGTAATCATACAAATCATTGTGATGTGTATGTGGGTTTGAATTTTTTATATTTGATATAGTGTCATCATGAATTTCACCATTGACTAACGCGTCTCAGGGCATAGAAAAATTGTAATTGCTATAGATTGAAGGTTAAATTTGCACCTTAGAAGGGCTTCACTTCAATTGAATTTAAATGTGTTTGTTGTGTTTTCAAGTTGGTTTCATTTCTTTAATATTAGGTCGATGGAGCATACATAAGTGGCTAATATATATACGAAATGTATTGAAACAATATGTTTTCATAAAACAATTTATCTAAATGACTGATATACAATTTGTTAAATTTATTAGATGTATGATAATTCCATATCGAGTGATAAGTGAATTAATTACAACTCTATGTATAAATGTGTAATCAATTCTTTAAAGTAATTTACCCTTAGTTTGGATGGGGAAACATATCACTTTCCGTCAATTCAACCCAAAAGTAAGATGTTGGCAGCCAAAAGTTAAATTTCTTTTAAAAATAATTAATTCCTCTTTTGCATCAATTATAGTTTTCTTTAGCTTTGGGTTTATAACTGATGCTAAATGTTATTTTTCTACATCGATTTTAGCTGGCGATGAAAGTATAACCTTTTGCACTTATTTGTCCAATGTAAAAATTACTTTTCCATATTTGTGTTAATAGCAGCTATATATTAAATATACAGTCACTCCTTCCAAAATTATCTTAAGCAATTTTGACATAAATAATAAGTCTTAGTGTGTGGTTAATGCAAAATTTTAATAAAACTTAGGATATGCCTTTGCTTCTACTGGTCTTTGGAAGGACTGGCTATACATGCATGCCTTTTGAAAATGAAACTGTGAAATGCTTTGTGATTAATGTCATGAAGAAACTTTGACAGCTCATCTCTTTCTGATGAACATCTTCTTAGACGTTGCATCTATTATTGAATTGCACAAATTGTAAGTTTTATTCCACTACTAACAAGAGCTATATATGTATTATTGACTATTACCTATTTGTATAGGAAGGAAAAAGGGAAGAGAAAGGGGAGGAAGAAAGAGAAAAAAAGGAGGAATAAGTGTGAAACTTTCAAAATCTCAATTCAGTAATAATCAAACTTAAATATAAATAAAAACTTTTAACTCTATTTTTTAAAATCCTGAAATAATAAAATAATAAAAATAATTTAAATTTAATTATTAAATCCTAAATTTAAATATAGTATTAAAGATGCTGATATTTAAAATAACAAAAAATAAATAATAAATTTTAATTCTAATGGATAAATATCCTTATATAGATATATATATTGAATAACCCTAATATCTTAAAATAAACCCTAATTATATTCTATCCCATATTATACTAATATGTTTCTTGTACTAAAGTTTAGTCTGGCATGTCTCCAAGGAGTTAGATAAAATGGGGTCAACTAACTAACGGTGCATGTTTTTCAAGTTTTAGAATTTTGATTTAAGCTAGAGACAAGATCGATTAAGTTTCAAAAGACTGAATTAATGATAATTATGTCTGTGATAATTTTTTTAAAAATAAATTTCTTATGTTAATTCAAACAATTATAAATAAAAATCTGAATTATAATTTGAGAGTCACATTTGAAATTTATAAAATGCTTTATCTGCAATTAAAAATTTTAATTTTATAATTATTTGATCTGATATTTAATTCATTTTTCAAGCAATCTTTTATGAACTAGTTGTGATTCACATGAACAGTATTGTAATTTGTGATATTTAACTTGTGTTAGACTGGATGCTTTTGTTGTTTTAAATCATAATATTTTTTGGGCGCCAGAGTTCCTCTATCTTAATGTTTGAATAATTAAATTTAAATTTCAAAATAAGTTAGCCCTACTAAATAATTTTATCACAAATATCTCATTACTCTCATTCTAACATTCAAACTAGCTCGTAGCTAACTTTACTAAGAAAAGATATAGAATTAATAAGCCATAAATAATGCAATTTATTTTAGAGTTCTGATAATATTTTAAAAATGTACTCTCTCCGTTTTGAATTATAGGGCACTTTTGAAAGAGTTTTTTCATCTTAAAATATAAGACCCTTTAAATAAATTAATGTTTCATTAAATGTATTAATTTTAATATTATCCTTTCTCCCCTTATAATTAATTTTTATTCTTTTTATTTTTAATATATTAAATGATAGATATTTTTAAAAGTTTATATTTTTATTTTGAAAAGATGAAGTTGTTAATTGTATTTAATGAGATTTATTAATAAATAAAATTTTATTTAAAAATATTTTATAATTTAAGATGAAGGGAGTTTAATAATAATTAAATTTACAAATAGTTGTATTATCAATATCCATAACGTAACTTATTACACTTTCTTTTTTTTTTTTAAAAAAAAATCGGATGCAATTCTGTGGGGGAACAGAATCTGAACTCTTAAATGGAGCCCTGCCCATTTAATAAGCTTGAGTGCACTTTACCAACAGGCCCGCCAAAATCTTGCTGGAAGGAGACAAAAGTTTCGGGCCGAGAAGAAGTATGAACCGGGTCGGATTGATCCGGTTGAGACGGTCAAAATTTCCATAAATCAGAGTCTTTCTTTTAAAAGCTCGTTTCCTGAACCCTCCAGCGACGACGCCGGTGAGAGTCCGACAGAGAGCGTCGCCTCCTTCCTTCCAGTAAGTCTCTCTCTCTCTTTCTCCCCTCCTCCTCCATCATCCTCTTCACACGTGCAATCGACCTGTACACAGATCTTCTGCTTGAATGCTGTTTCACTCCTGTCTTTGTCAGAAGTCAGAACTACTGCAACTGTCTGTTTATTTCTCCCAATGATTACCGCCTTTCAAAGCTTCAATAATCAATATTTTCTTCTCTGGGATTACTGAATACAGAACCACATGATATTTCATTATCTCTTGGGGTTGAGGCAATTTGTTGGTCCATATATCCTAATATTGTGTGTAGTGCAATTTAACCGCGAGAAAAACAAATGAAATCTTTTTGGTGCATGGTCTTGTCGTTGAGGAGCTAAAGGAAATAGTTTGAGGGTATTGGCATTTAAATTTGAATTTCAAGTGCCAATAGAAGTGATGGAGGTCAAAGTTACATCGGTAGACCCTTGTATTAGAGGTTTCGTGTTTTTTGAATTGGTTCTACTATTTCATGCATGTGTAACTTAATTAAAAAAGTTGAAGAGGCTAATGACTGGATTATCTTGCATTGATATAAATAGCGGCAGCAAGGAGTAGCGTATCCATATTATCTTTGTCAGTCTTCTCCTTGTCTAACTTTCCGCCCTATGTAAGTCCTTGGTCCTTGCCACGCTACTGTGGTATTTAAAGTCACTCTAAGTTGAATTTAGCTATCGAAACTGTAAGCATTTGAATTTTATCTCTTACGGAGTATTCCTATGACGGTTACCATCATATGGTAATTTGTTTTCTTTGTTTTAATGGAGCAGGTAAAGCGTAGTAAAGAAAATTAGCGGTAGAAAAATGGACGCTGTTCTCTTCTAAAATTCTTATCAAAGCCGTTAAAAAAGTTATTTCCAATATGGAAACTGAAAATTCAGATGTGTCAAAGGCTGAAGAATTCAAAGTCCTTGCAAACGAAGCCTTCAATGGTAATTAATTCTCTGATTATACTTTTCTGATGCGATTATTTTGCTTTCTTAGTTTAGTTGTAAATATAAGCTAAAATTTTATAACTTGTGCGAATTTTTATCAGCAGGACTTCTGTATTCCTTTGTTGATTCTCAAACTGGAATCAGACTGTTGTTGGTGTATTAGACTTACATTTACTTTGCAGCATTTTCCTGCGCTCATTATTATTAAATGGCCTTTTCTTTGACGTGCTGCTGCTTTAATCCACTTTATCATCTAATATTATGAATTCCCTTTTCAGCTCGCAAATATGCCCAAGCTATTGATTTATATACTCAGGCAATTGAACTGAACAGTCGAAATGCTGTTTACTGGGCTAATCGTGCATTTGCACATCTTAGGCTTGAGGAATATGGTAGTGCGATACAAGATGCTACAAAGGCCATTGAAGTTGATCCTAAATATTCAAAGGTGCTGTGCATCCTAAAACTAAAGAGGCCTACATGCATTTGCATGCATTGAATGCTGATAATTATATTCTAATTATGTCTTGTTGTTGCAGGGTTATTACAGGCGAGGTGCTGCTCATCTTGGCATGGGGAAATTCAAGGAAGCACTGAAGGATTTTCAGCAGGTAGTTTTCTTGCAATGTTATAGAACGGTGATGGGCAATACTTATACTAGGCCAGAAGATTTGCCACAAAAAATGCAAATTTCAGGGCAAAAGCCTTCTTTGTATAGTATCTTCAAGTTAATTATTTTTATGGGAAATTATTTATTCAGGTATATTAGAGAATGCGGAGATATAAGAATGGGATAGATCTCCCAAAATCTGAGAATATAAAATCAATCTGTTGCTAGGTGTGCCTGAAATCTTTGGAAACCTGCCTACTTTTAAATCTGTTCTTTATTTATACTGAGGTTTGGTGAAGAGATTGATACCTTCCTAGTTATATGGCAGATCTTTGTGGGCTCTTATGGATACTTTTAGCAATAGATCAAATAATTATCATTTTGGTTCAATAAATATGGTCTGGAAGTTGTGTAGTAATTTATTCGGAAAGATGGGAGCTACATAAAAAGATGATACGAAAACATGGATATGGAAGGAAATGATTGGACTGGATGGAAGGCACATACTATATATAGAATAGAAGAAACTGGTTTACTGAGTTAGAAATGTTTTGTGATATATTGTTTTGGGGTCTAAAGGTTGGGGTGACTATCAGGCATATCAACTATCAGTGGAATAAACAAAGGGGTGACCACTTAATCCCGTTTCACAGCTTGTGTTTGTTCAAATTTATAATTGAAGTTCTCTCTTTGTTGAATTCTCTATCTCAATAGAAGCAGTCTTTTCAAAATTCAATTTCTTGTTCTAGCAATGAGAATTTGCAAAAGAGAGAAAAGACATTTGTTAGAATGTGCCTGGAAATTGCTGGGGTTTGATAAATGTTTTTGGCTTTTAGCCTTCTTAAAATAATTTTTATAAGCTAAACTTTTTCTTTGCTGTCCATGGCAAACAGTTCTTGGTCCTTTACAGTTACCATATACTCTATACTCTTTACTTCTGTTACATGAGAAAATTTTTATGACTAGCCTGTACTTTTAGGTTTTAATCCCTCAAAATAACTTTGGCTACCTCACTTTTATTGGTCGGTAACATGTACTCTGTGTTGAATCCATATTTACTTTAATTTACTTATGTTGAATTAGGTCAAGAAAATGTGCCCAAATGACCCTGATGCAACAAAGAAATTAAAGGAATGTGAAAAGGCAGTTATGAAACTTAAATTTGAAGAAGCAATTTCTGCCCCAGATGCTGAAAGGCGTTCAGTAGCTGAATCCATCGATTTCCACTCTATAGGTACTATTTTAAACATGGAATCATGCTGATATTTTTAGGTTATCATTTTTTTCATCCTCTCTTTCTTTCCGTTAATTTTTCCTTTATTGTTTAATATGATTATCTGTGTATTATTTTTATGTTGTTATATTGTTTTATGTTGCCTATTATTCTGGATCTGTATGTATACTAGGGTCTACACCAGTTACAAGATGTTATAACTTGGATGTGGTATTATCTTTTTATTCTTTGTATCATGTCTTGTGTTGTGATTAGGTTCCGATCTTTAGATAGACATTATCTGAAATAGATCATTGTATAAATGTGTTTTGAAGAAAATGAGTTATGTCGTTGAGCAACCTTTTGCATTTTTAATCCTTTTAAATGAGCAATCAACCAAGTCTTTTGGCTATGATTCCATGCCACTCATGAATTTTTTCACGAAGGAAAGAATTTGGCAGATAACAACTGTATTTTCATATTTATAACCCTTGAGTATGTAGAGCTTTCCAACTTCAAATGATTCTATTATCAGTAGAGATTACAAAATTGAAGGAACAACTACTACTAATGCCCAGGGCATTCTTGTAGCATAATTGAATAAGGATGATTCTACAAGATGATGGTTCTAACCAATCTAACCATTATTGTGGCTGTTGATTTCGATTTTGATTTTTCCTATTCATGCCCTTCGCTGTAGGGGTTTATTTTGTTGAAGTGCCAGTTACCTCATTTGAATCTAGGCTCTTATTAGTTTCTATCAGACCACTGAAGGATTTGGGCATTTGACTAACCGAATTGCTAGTCTTGTATGCAATGAGTAAATGGCCATCTTGGCCATTGCTCATTACTATGACTGAGGATGCCATGCTACGCATAAGAATCTGTTGTTTAATGGAAGGAATGATGTTAGCCATCTTTAAAGACCTATCTACCGCAAGCAATACATTGCGCCATTGAGTCACTAAGTGAACAGGGGGATATTCGATATAGAACTAAAACATGTATGTGCAAGATATTAAATCAAATGCCTCCTAGTTGAGCTCTTAAACCAAAATATGTTTAGCTTTGTATGGTGTTTCTTTCCAGGATTCCCATTAGATGGGGATATTGTTTTTCTTCATTGCTTCCAAGGGTTTTTAATAGATTGGTGGTAGAAGAAACAAAAATTTTAACCTCCTGCTAGTCGCAGTTTCATATTCCATAATGTCATTCTATTTAACCTTTTCTACCCCTTGAAAAGTGCGGTTTGGTGTGGAACGTAGTTCATTCCAAAATACAAGTTAGTACAGGAAGTTGATATTCTTTATGTACTGTCTTGTTGATATTCTTAATGCACTGTGTTTATTGTCCTTTTAATACTAAGTTATGATTGAAATTTCTCTTTTTCTTAATCAGATTCCTTGAGTGGATCTAGTTATTCCTTTAAGTTTTCTCCGTTATTTTTTATCTTGTTCATTTTATTTCCTTGGAAGAAAAATGGGTATCCTCACTGATACAGTTAAATTTAGTAGGGGTTGATCAGCCAGTCTCTAGTTCACCTCACTTTCACCCTAGCAACATTTGATTATGCTAAGACCTGTGAGTCCTGTTTTGTTTAGTTTCTTGAGATTGCAAAAATATCAATACTATGCAGCCATCCAGTATAAAATCTTCTCCCTCTACAGCGAATCTTTTGCGTCCTGAAGGATTGTCTATTCCTTATTTTATGAAATCAAAAGGTTCAGGATTGGACAGGGGCAGGGGCCTTTTTTTAGTTCTTCTGTATGTTTTGCAGTTCTTTCCTCAGTAGCTTACGTTCAATAAAATCGTGGCTGCATGAAAGCATGAAGCCTCTTCGATGAAATTTCCTGTTTGACCTGATCTCTTGTAACATCTTTCTTTTAGATATTCTCCTCAACCATGTACTATATCAGTTTTTTCCCCTTACTTATCACCATCAATTAACATATTCTCTACTCTCTTTAAGTTTTTCCAAAATTTTATTTCTTAGTTCTTTTTTTTTTAACTCTAAATTCTTATCAAGTTTCTCGATCTCCTTCCTTCTATTAGTAATTGTTAGCAAAATACCTTATTCTAAAAAGATTTTGTCTCGTTGGAAGAATGTCTTACAACTGTTGTTACAATGCTCAGAATCTAATCAGAATTTTTAAGGTTCAGTTCTTCCTTCATCTTGTAAGAGACTGAGGGGATTTTCTTTTTCTACGTTAATGATAAGTAGTTCAATCACTTAAGCAGCCTTCTTTTGCTCTCCAATTCCTATTATATGAATGCTGGAATCATTCTATTCTTTTTGTTTGTGTTTGGGCATCAGTCATGGTTTACTATGAATTATCAATCTGTGTATATACTGTATCATTTTAGGAAAGGGTCACAATTCTTTGATGCCCACCGAAGTGACCATAGCAGCAGTGACAGTAGCAGTTATGGCAGCAGTGGTGATGTTGTTCAGGACATCTGTGGCCACAATGGTAGCTGCAGTTGTGGTTGGTCTTCTGTTGTTACTTGGGGCATATCGGTGGAGTAGCTCCAATGCTGGTATAAATAGCCAGAGTGATTTACATGACTAAGTCTGAGCCAAAAGCAAATTAAGATCTGAACTCAGCTGATAATCATTGTAAAATTTCATGTGGTCTAAATCATAAACTCCAGACTTCTGAAAAATTTACTACAAGCCGGTGGAATCATTACTAATAATGCATTGAGAAAATGTGATATCTTTTTGCCTTGTAACATAATTAGCGATTTATTTCTTTTTAAGAAAAAATGGTGGCCCTGTGTGCATTCGATGTGATGTGTTTTTGGCTTTGTTCTCGCTGAAATATCTACTCTGGCATTTGAGTTCCTGTATTCATGGAGCTTGAACAAAATTGTGTCCTTTTAATACTAGATGTGGAGCCGCAATACACAGGAGCAAGAATAGAGGGGGATGTTGTTACTTTGGATTTTGTGAAAAAGATGATGGATGATTTTAAGAATCAAAAGTGCCTACATAAACGGTATTGAAGCAAAATCCATTATTTATTTGTGTTTCTTAAAGGCTTGCTGTTGTGCCTTTTTCATGAGCTTGCTTCCGTTTTATAGGTATGCCTACCAAATTGTATTGCAAACGAGAGAGATGTTGTTAACCTTGCCTCCTCTTGTTGATATAAATGTTCCTGATGGCAAGCATTTCACTGTTTGCGGTGATGTGCATGGTCAGGTAATTATTTTATTTTTTTTGAATTGTACGGAATGGCTTTGGGTTTCAGTTTTGACTTTGACTTCTGGCAGCAGAAGCTTATTGGAGAGACCTTGCTTTATATTTTAAATTGTCAGATATAACTGTTCAGCGCCAGTTCTGAGTCATCTGTAATTTAATTTTCAGTTTGGTGTCCTGGAAATTCACACGCCACTCTAATTTATTACTTTTTTGTCTACCTTACTTAAGCCATAAGTTAATGGACTGTTAGCCTAGTTTTAAACTACTACTCTATTTTCTTGATATATAACACATACATAAAGAGCAAGTCTTGTAAGTTAACATCGGACTTTGTTCTCAATTTTCTCGACAGCTCAGTGGACAGCGTTGGTACAGTGTTGTGAATGATCATAATAATCCAAAATTCACATAAAAAACTTTCATTCTATTATCAAGTTTCACGTCTCTCATTTCTTCACCATTTTGTGCTCATAGTTCTTCCAGTTCTCCAATTTTTGCTTTGTATGCTTGAATGTCAAATTGTTTTACTAACTTCCACTAAACTAACTTCTGCAGTACTACGATCTCTTGAACATCTTTGAGCTTAATGGGCTTCCCTCGGAAGAGAATCCATACCTTTTTAATGGTGACTTTGTGGATAGAGGATCTTTTTCACTGGAAGTCATCCTCACTTTGTTTGCATTCAAGTGCATGTCTCCATCAGGTGATCCTTGTTAGAGCTTTATCAGTATGTAAACTTAGTTATTTTTTCTGGATAATTTGTGCAATTGAGCCTCATCTGTGGCAGCATTTAGATGTGTGTTTTTTAGGTTTTTTTTTTTTTGGGGCTACCTTGTTGTTTATGTTGAATTAGCTGTTGCTGTTTGTGTGATTGGGTTCTCATAAATTTGCATGTACTGGGTATAATATCTTATTAGTTTTTTTTTTTGTTTTGTTTTCATTTGACTTTCAGCCATATATCTAGCTAGAGGGAATCATGAGAGCAAGAGCATGAACAAGATATATGGTTTTGAGGGTGAGGTCCGCTCAAAGTTAAGCGACACATTTGTGGAACTATTTGCAGAAGTCTTCTGCTGTTTACCTTTGGCTCATGTGATAAACGGGAAGGTTTTTGTGGTTCATGGAGGTCTTTTTAGTGTTGATGGGGTCAAACTCTCTGACATTAGAGCAATTAACCGATTTTGTGAGCCTCCAGAAGAAGGTTAGAGGCACCCTTTTGCTGTTTTTGGTTTAACTACTGTTCTTGACATCCTGTACCTTAAGCCTTGAACAAATAAACATATTCTTGCGCTTCATAGTTCCCTCCCTCTTCCTCTTTCTGTTTTCCTTGTTTGCGTTGGAGTTTTATGAATCTATTTTTCATGAATAGGATTAATGTGCGAATTGCTATGGAGTGATCCACAACCTCTTCCTGGGCGGGGTCCAAGCAAGCGTGGTGTAGGTCTTTCTTTTGGTCCCGACGTGACAAAAAGTTTTCTGAAGGAAAATAATTTAGGTATTTTTGCTGTTAGTTTGATAATGCTCTTGTTCTTTGATTGGTGACCTAATACACGTTATCAAATTTCAGAGTTGGTTGTCAGATCTCATGAGGTAAAGGATGAGGGTTATGAGATCGAACATGATGGTAAACTCATAACTGTATTTTCTGCTCCAAATTACTGTGACCAGGTAATTAAATCCCCCATTTTCAGTTGTAATATTGCTTTCTAGTTGATAGTTATCTATAATTATAAATAATAAATATTGCTGGCTTGTTTTGTCTTACTTGGTACTCTTCATATGAAGACTTGATGTGTGTGTGTGTGTGTGTGTGAGTGAGTGAGGGAGGGGCTGGCTTGATTTTGTTGCCAATAGGATGGGCAATATATGACATGCTTAATATGCGGAGATTTTCTTTTATATCCAATAAAATTAATCGTCCTCGCTGAAATATAGTTGGCCTTTGTTATTACTGTCAGCAACAAGTTAATATTTTCACTCCATGCTGCAGATGGGTAACAAAGGTGCATTCATTCGATTTGAAGCACCGGATTTGAAGCCAAACATTGTTACGTACTCAGCAGTGGTTAGTATCTTTTGTACTTTCTTTTTTTTTTTTTTTTCAGTTTACGCTGTTACTTTATGGTTTCCCAGTTAATTATTCTGTCATGGCACATCTGGTAATTAACAAGGATGAACAGAAAATTCTTACATTGCTTATGCAACCAACTTTCTTTGGTTTTTCTCATAATCTTTATGTTGTGTGGAATTTGCAGCCACACCCGGATGTGAAGCCAATGGCTTATGCGAACAACTTCCTTCGGATGTTCTCATAATCTCACATGGCTTTCTGGGGTTCATTCTGGTTAGCAATATCTCTGCAATCCAACAAGGAAGGATTCTTTGGCCCAGCCATAGAAGACCCCGTACAAGTTGACAACTTTGTGCCAATATATATAATTTTTTTTCCCCTCCTTTTGGGCTTAACGTTATTCAAATTCATTTTTTCCCACAAGTTTCCCTTTGTCTCTTTGTACTTTTGGTTATTTGGTGAACCATGTGCAGGGAATTTGGAGTTAGATTTATTAGCTCCATGAAACTTTTTTTGTTGGTTTTTTTCTTGAACTTTGTGAAATTACTGTGCTTAGGGAAATGAATGATTATTTATTGTGTTGAATCTTTGGGTCGTTTTCTATTGCACTGAATATAAGTTGCTCCTATAGTCTGAAAGCTTTTGATTTTCAAGATGCTTAATCGTTGGTTACTATTGTCTATGATTTTTTTTTTTTTTAATCCTGTTGTGGGCATTGAATTGGAAACAGGGTAAGTTGCAGAAACTATCACTCTGTGGAAGAGTCAGATCTTTTTAAACTGCATAAGTATATAAATCTTTTGTGTTGAAAAAAGTGGGCTAGCGCTGTCAAAATATTAGTATAGCCCAAGCTCACGAATTTTAGAAAAAGAAATTGGCAACTGGCCAGGCTTTGCCTGGACTTCTCTTGTGTTGAGTTTCTGTAATGGTTAATGTCTTATTGATCTTTGAATTTTAAAAGGGTTCGATGTAGTGCACCATCCAAATTGAAGGATTGTACAGTTAAAAAATAAAATGAATAAATAAAATGAAGCTGTTTTGAACGCCAAGATCTGTTTGCACAATAAAAGTTTGTGGTCGGAAATAAGTTTGGAAAATTTATGCTATGAAATGGACTGGAGATTACGGATTCAAGGCTGAATTCGATTAAACAAAGCCCTTTTGTTTTTTTGTTTTTAACATTTGGAATGTCATTTCAAAGTTGAATTTTGGTTCAGATTAGGAATGTTTGGCCCTCCAAAATTAAATTTACAAGTTATTTTTATATTAAAATTAAGTACTAAAAGTATATATTAAAATTAAGTGTTACAATTAAATAACTCCTTTTTATATTAAAATTAAGTACTAAAATTATATAAAAGTAAGTACTAAAATTATATATTAAATTAAGTGCTACAATTAATAGAAGAACTGCAGCTCCTCTTTCTAGTTTTACAGCATGCTTTTTGTTTTTAGATTATCAAACTTCTTCATATGATGTTTACTCCCTTCATTCAAACATACAAGATATTATTGAAGGTTTAGATGTTAAGACATTTTTAATATTTCAAAATATAATTAATGTACTTTTTTCAAGTGTTTCTAATAAATAAATTACTTTTTATTTATTTTAAAGTGAAACACTCTATTAAATAAGAGTAAATAAACAAAGGTAATGTTGCTTCAAAAACAACTAAGTATTTTATTGAGGGATATAATTCGATTAAAAATATTTTATATTTTTTAACAGAGGAAATATTTAATTTCTCTAAGAATATATTTGCTTAAGGTTTCTTATAAACGTTTTATTCATGGCCGTATTTTGACACCATGGCATTTGCAGGCTTTTAAGTTTTAACATGACCTTGGTGTATTCCTTGTATTTCTGCTGTTGTTTTTGTTTCTTAATAATAGTTGATTTTTTTAACGCGAAGAAGTTAAGTAACTCCCTTAAATGTAAATATATTAAGTTAACTGATGGCCCAAAAATATGTTAAGTTAAATAAATTTCTCCTTTTATATTTTCAAATAACAATCATGTTATGTTTACAATTAATTTTAAATAATTTGATTAAAAATATTTTTATTGATTTTTTAAACCCATGAGTGGCCCAAGCTGCAACATTGCTATAAATTACATTAGCCAATAAGGGTGAAAAATTAAAATCTTACTTTCCATGCACTAAAATTATTCCTGAGAAGGAGTACATTATTGATCAAAAATAAGTTTATTATAAAATTTAGATAAGTAGGGTTTTAGAAACTTGGCAGGGCTAGGTTAGTCATTAATGATCAAAAATTATTTTAACTTACATTTTTGTAGTGTATGAGTTACATTAACTTTCTAATTAAATCAACCCTTATTAGTGATAATTGCTGTAATGGTAATTTATGCTTTTTTTTTTTTATACAATGTTTTTGTTAAAAAGTTAGTCACTCATGGTGGATCAACGGAATGTTCGGGCCCATTTATAAAAAAAAAAAAAAAGACCCGTTTCGTTGCACCTTATAACAATAAATAATAATAATTATTCTCTTTTGTTGGATGCCCCTCACTCTGCTAGGCTAAGCAACGACGCCGGAGGAGGTCGTATCGTGTTCGTCTCCTTTCACTGTAAGTACCCCCAACCCCTCCTTTCTTCTCCCTCACAATTCACTTGTCTTTTATCTTTCGCTATGTTTCATTTTTCCGTAGCTAAGTTAAAACGCTTCTCAATTTACTTCCTCCGAGCCCATGCCATTGCCATGGCCATGCAGATTTCTTCTCTCTCTGCACTCTCTTCCGATGCTTCGATTCTCTTCTCGATCCCAAATACTAGCGGGGACCAGCTGCTTCCCCTTCTTACTCTCTTCTGGGTGTGTTGCCCTGTGAAATTGTTGGTAATGCCCAGCCAAGCCTTAGTTTGAAGGTTGTAAAATTGGATTACTTTTAGGGTTTTTTAAATTGGTTTAATAAATGAATGTTTGTTTCTGGAGCTGTTGTATGAGAAGGAAAACAATGCATGGAAATGCCATTAAGTTATTGTTTCCTTGTAGCTGATTGAGGAGACCTTCTGGATACGTGGTGATTATTGTGAGAACGTCATGGGGTGTGATGAGATGGGAAAGAAATTTGTTTTCTGAGGAGTTCTTGATCTTAATAAAGAAAGAAAGAATGGAAGTTTTAAGGCAGCTGGTTTTGTTAAATAAAATTAGTAAATTAATGAACTCTACACCATCCATATTGCTGTGGAATGAAAATTGAAAAGTGGACCATTTAAAGTGATTTTTAACTATTTCTTTTCTCATTGTGATCAATGTTCTTTCACGTTTTCTGTTCATATGAAAGTCAACTGTTCGGGCTATCTAAAAATTTGGCCTTTTAATTTAACATGTTTTTGCAGCAATCAATGTTAACAATTTTGTTCCAAATGACTGAATTTGCTTGCTTACTTACCAGTTCCCTAATTTTTACGTTAGGATAATTGCTGTGAAGTATTCATTTTCGTTTTACATATTTTTGGGCGATAATATGCTGACCTTAAACTTTTCCGTGCACCAGTGTTCATTCATTTTAAATCAATTCTCATATTTTAGGCATGAAACAACTAGTTAAACAGAAAATGATCTGTTTCAAAGCCTTCAATGTCCTTATTATGGTGCCTGTAGCCTTTTGGGCAGTGTAATAGATGGTGATCCGTTCACTTCATGTTACTTGCCCATGGATTGAATCTCAACTAACTGCAATAATGTCGTTTTTGCCATAGATCTTCTGGTATGGAAATTTTCCTTCAAGATGCTGGCCATGTGTATAAAGATTAGAGTTATTTGTAGCTTAATGAAGTATGTAGGTGGTAGTCAAAGTAGAGGCTTCTATTCTTAGCAACCATTGTCTCTTTTTACAGGGATCTATCGCTAGAATCTGCTGTATAAATGTTTTGATCAATTTGGCAATGACAGTAAATTCATTTTAGCATTTGTTTATGTTGGTTTCAAGTTACGAGAACAAACTCCTCACGAGAGGATACCATGAGGAGCACCTTTATAGGGACATCATTCAAAATGCTTGCAATCTCATTCATAGAGATTGGTCTATTTCTATTAATTTTGTTTCTAGGGACGTCATTAGTCATGCCCATTTTCTTGCTAATGAAGCTCATTTTATGGAGAGTTTATTTTATTTCTTTGATCATCCCCCACCTAATATTACTTTAGGAGGCGTATGATGATTGAGTCGACTCTCTTCGGTCTTGTATTTGCTTTGTTGTACTGTCCTATTTGCTGATTGTTTATGAAATTCAGTTTCCATTCAAAAAAAAAAAAAAAAAGTTACGAGAACAAATACTATAGGTTCAACTATTGAAAATTACTATTTCTTATATTCACTAATGTCATTTTGAAGATTAAAGGTAAATTTTTCTCAGGTTTTACATCTAAACAATCTTTAGACCATCATTTTCCGGTCAAATTCTCTTACAGCTTACATCAAATGGAGTCGTGTTTATTCATCTATTTGAATATGTTGCTTATTAGTAAATGAGTTCTTGTGGGATTTGATCTGTTAACATGTTGAATTTCCTAATATGTTCTTTGTTCCTTCAAAGAAGATGCTTTATCCTCTGTTATTGTACGCCTCTCTTTCCTATCAAGTATCAAGTTCCTTATTTTATTTATTAAAATAACCTAAATACTTGGGGAGTGCTGCTTGTCATTTTATAATCATTTTGGGTATCTGTCTTTAGTTTTGCTGATGGAAGTAGAAGTGGTGGACCTTTATGTGACTAATCCAGGACCAATTGATGGTTCAGTTTTATATGATCAAGATAAGCATGTATCTACGGCAGTTTGGGAAGGACAGGTGCAGTTTTCCCTGCCAAGAGTCCTTTTTTTGCTTCATCTTTGTTTATCTTGGAAGAAATGTTATCACTAATTTGATCTCTTATATTATCTTGTTGTCTTGTTAATGCATTGACAGGAGCGTGGTGCTCTCAGATGCCATGAACACACTTCAAAGCTTGATCAATGGACGCTTACTCATAAACAGATTGAATTAGTACATAAAGCTGGTTTTGGATACTTGAGATCAATTCCAGCTATTAGTCTTGACAATCCTCTTATCTCTGCCCTGGTTGAAAGGTGGAGAAGAGAAACAAACACTTTTCACCTAAATGTTGGAGAAATGACAGTAACTCTCAAAGATGTTGCCCTCTTATTAGGTCTGGCCATAGATGGAGACCCTGTGATAGGCATAACATACACTGCATGTGGTTCAGTATGTGAAAAGTACCTTGGCAAAGCACCAGAACCTGGTTATACAAGTGGTGGAATGGTGAAGCTAAGTTGGTTGAAGGAGTTCTTTTCTCGTTGTCCTGAAAATGCTTCAATGGAAGTGATGGAGCAACATACTCGAGCCTATCTTCTATATCTTGTAGGTAGCACCATATTTTCCACCACCACTGGGAACAAAGTCCCTGTAATGTACTTGCCGTTATTTGGTAATTTTGAGCAATGTGGACGATATGCCTGGGGTGCAGCAGCATTAGCATTTTTATATAGAGCTCTGGGAAATGCCTCTCTGAAAACTCAAAGTACTATTAGTGGCTGTTTAACACTACTACAGGTACAGGTCAATTAAATATGCCCATATTATTTTCAGCTACCCTTGTTGAATGCTAATTTTTTTATGTTCTTCAAAATGCTTGTCTAATTGGTCATTGTTCTTTGCAGTGCTGGAGTTACTTTTACCTGAATATTGGCCGGCCAAAGCTTAACCATGATCCCATGCGTGATCAATTTCCATTCGTGCTAAGATGGAAAGGAAAACAAAGTGGTCCAACAGCAAATCGTGATGTAATTTTCTATCGGAAGGCTTTAGATTCCCTAAAACCAAGTGATGTAAGTCTTATATTTAATTATTTATCTTTGCAAATTTTTTTTTAATAGGATTAGACAAAGTTCTACGCTCGTCCTTAAAAGGTAACGTTATTATCAATTTAAGGCTACATAGTCCCCCCCCCCCAAACCTATCTGATGATATGATTATGATTATGATTATTATCAATTATAGAAGATTAGATAATGGAAAGATTTTATAGTATCATTTTAACATCATAGGAAGGGCGAAATTGAAACAAATACACTTTATGGGTATTGTGATACAAAAAACCTTTGAGGTATCAAATTGATATCATACCATTTTTAAAGGACCAAGGTAGAGTTTTATCTTTATTTTGTGATCTGGTTAGATTCTGATATATTATCAAAAGAGAACGTTGTTCAGTGTAATTGATGTACAGGTGGAGTGGCTCCCATACAGAAGCATGGACAGTATGGTAATTTCTGAAGATATCAAAAGTACTTTAATTCTTGGGAGGTCAAAGACAATGTTGATATGCTTCGACAAAGCCGAGAGACATCTTCCAAATCGATGCCTAAGGCAATATGGCATGCTTCAATCAATTCCAGATCATGTGGACCACTGGGAAAGGAAGAGCCGAGGCGTTGATGGCGGTGTCAATTTGTCGGCGAAAATGGAATCAGAGCTCAGTGAATGGATGGACCGGCATCTCCATATCGTCGATGGTTATGAGGAGGTTGAGGAAAACGAATACATGCAGTGGTATCTCAAAATTACTCGCAGATTTGTGGGGAGGCCTATCTCTCTCTCGTCTGAGTTTCAAAGAACAGTGAGTATATATTGTTTATGAATCAGCATTTACATCTTATAGCAACTAGAGATCAAGTTTGAAATGCTTTTTATAGAACAAACCCAAATGTTTTCAGAATGCTGGTTTGAGGGATATCGCACATATAGCAGACACTTTTGCAACTGATGGGTTGGATGCAGATCAAATTGAATCAATTTCTAGGATAAGATTAATTGCACATGAATGTTTGAGAGACCAATTTGGTGCTCCAGCCTTAGTGCCAGCCACCCCACAAGTTGAGCTTGGAAAGAGGGTGAGAGGAAAGGAGAGGGTTAGAAGGAAAGGTACTGGTAAACGAATGCGGAGGGATGACGACGACGCAGTTCACTATAATGCGGCTAGTGAGGATGAGCAACCTCAGTTCTATGGTGCTGCTATGAAGATCGAGGATTTACAATTAAGTCATGTCGACAGAGAGGCTGATCATGCACAAGTCTATGCTCTAGACAATGAGGTCAATTCTGTACTGCTAATTCATGCAGATGGTGACAGTGGTGGTGAGAATCTGCACTTATGCGATGCAAACTTTGAGCTGGATCAATCGGCGTTAGGCTCTGCAGCCAGCGAAGAAAATAACGAGGAGCAAAAGCATATAGCTCCTGAGGCCAATAATGAAGAACTAAAAAATTTAGCTTCTGAGGATAACAATGAAGAACTGAAGCATGCATCTGATGCAATTATAAGGGAAGAACTGAACCAGGTGAGTTGCAATGAAAATGTTGACGAAGTGGATGTAACTAACAAGGTTGATGATGCGCAACCTTGTGATGTCTCTAAGGAAGCTGATGATTCACAGCTCTGTGATGCAAGTCATGAGATCAAGAATGACGGTCCTTCTGATGCTTCATTAGAGGTCAATAACTCAGATCATGTTACTTGAGTGAGGTCAGCTCATCACTAAATTAGATCCTCTGTATTCATTTATTGGGAGAGGGTGACAAGAAAGAATGTGACTATATGAGACTCATCATTTTGTGTTCCTCATTTGCCCCCCTGTATCTCTCTCTCTCTCTCTGTGTAGTGTATGCACTGGATTTTATAGATGTAGAGGATTGGGATTGAACTCATCACAATGCAATTCAACTTGTGAGGATACTGCATAGCAAGGTGATTGTAATATTGTCGTAGAGGGGAACCGTAAATTATACTACAACCGTTTTAAATTATAAGACAATTTAAAATAAAATTACGTATATTAATAAGCTCAATAATAATATTTTACAAATTTATTTTTTTTTAAATTATAAATTTTTAAAAATGACCTTCATTTAATATAACTTTAAATTTATACTTTTAATCATTATATTATAATTATTTTGATTCTCTTTCTATTTAAAGGGTAGTATTACAAAAACATTATTAGTGAAGCTTTATTTTTATCAAATTATTTTATATTTTAGGACAACGAAGTGCCTTAAATTTGTCTTATAGTTAGAGGGAGCATAATTTTTGTAGTTTTTTTTAAGGGAAAATTAATCATCTAATCTCTATAATTTTGACTTGATTATAGCTTTGCTTTTAAACTTTAACTTGGTGTAATTTGACCTTATAGTTTAATTCAATTGAAACTTAATTTTTAAACTTTATCTAAGTACAATTCAATACTTATAATATTAGCTACTTAAAATATTAGTCTTTAAGCTTTAATAAATAACTTTAGTTCTTATAATTTTATTTTTTTTAAATATAGGAATTGATATTTTAAATGTTTAAAACTATAAGTATTGAATTGTAATGAGTCAAAATTTACAAGATTAAATTACAATCAAGTCAAGACTATAGGGATCCAATAATTAATCTTCTCCTTTTTTAATATGTATACACTGTAGTTTAATTTTCAAGATTTTATCACTAAATATCCTCTTTTAATTTAATAGTTACACTTTTATATGGATTTTTATTTAGATTGAACGACCCAAGTTGCACATGAAATAAATCTTATCATGCTTTGAAATTATTTTGAAAAGTAAAATGTCTGAGGTATCTCTATTGTATTAAAAGTTTAAACAATGATTATTCATCGAGATAAGACCTTGATTACTTGAGAACTACCTGTCCAGATGAATCTAAAACAACCTGTACTGTAACTCACGGGTCAATCCCAAAAGATGAATCATCAGTCACAGCTTAATCTACAGAAAAAAAGGATAAGAATGAAATATATAATTTTCTTGCCCGGAAAGAATGAAAGAATATTAGAAGCTATATAAACTTTTGGAACTTTAATAGCGAACATAATTTTGAAAACAAAAGTAAGTGTAATGGGAACTAGTTTTAAAAAAAGTATTATAATTCGCTCAATATACAATATAACTAAAGAATAACTATAAAGTTTTCATAATATAATAGCAATTTATAAAAATCATCTATTTATTACTGCACAAAAAAAAACTACTCCAAAATTTCAGTTTAACTTTCATAACCTACAAGTTTATTTATTGTGACATATTGTACATATATTATATTGTTTTTTGGGGCATATATATTAGGGTTAAAATGCATTTTTATTTTTTATACTTTTCTTTCAAAAATGTTGGGCATTTTGTATTAATAAGTGGGATATTTTTTTCCTTAAATAATTTTTTTAAGGAGCAAAAATGCACTTTAACATAAAAAATATATTAATAATTACTTTAATTTAAGCAATGTATTTTTTTTCTAACAATGACCAAAATGAAACAAGCAATTGTAACTTTCCTTTAGCAAGTAATTTGTATAAGGAAAGTTATAAGTGCTTGTTTCATTATGATCATTACCAAAAGAAAAGTAAATATTGTTTAAATTAAAATAGTTATAGATATTTACAATAATTGGATTTTAGTTATTGTTAGAAGAAAAGTAATTGTTATTAAAACTAAAGTAGTTATTAATACTTATTTTTTTATTTTAAACTAGGGTTATTTTATTCATTTCACAAAAATTCATTAATGTTATAAAGGTTTTTAGGAGCTTGAGAAGAATCATGACATTTCATGAGATTTTATTGTCATTTGTATATTTCAACAAGTAAGGTACATTTTATCTTATATTTTCCTTCGAAAAGCACTAGGTATCTATATTAATAAATGAATTTTTTTAAACCATTTTCAATAGGGGAAAAATCCCCCTCGATCAGTGATTTGTTAACGAAAGGAAATTTTTGCCTCTTTAGAAAAGGATTTAAAAAAAAAATACCTCACTTATTAATATATGGTGTCCAACATTTCTCGAAAGGAAGTATAAAAAAAAATGTACTTTAATTTTATATACTATATTGTTTTTTCAATACATTAATTAGGGACACAAGTATTTATACAATATAAAAGTAACACCTAAATATCGATTAAACTCATTTTAGTTTTATTGTAGTGTATAGAATATGAAATATTTGGCCAAAGCTTCCACGCTTATAACGTTTTTTAGTAAATTTATTTATATCTATAATTTTTTTTAGGTGATGGGTTGGACTAGATGGTTATCCTTTACGCAAAAAGCCTCATAATTTGTTTCTTTTGGTGGGTCCCTGAAATCAATATCATTATCTATATAGTACTATTAGTAGATATCTTAAGCCGAATTTCAAGATTAGAAAATCTTGACAGCAAGCCGCAATTCTTGTCCAAAAAAGAGCCGCAATTCACTGTATATAATTTATATTTATCAATTTAGAAATAGGGAAAATTTTTAAAAAATATAAATATCACATATAAATGTATATGTGTTATAATATAATTATTATCATTATTTATTGATATGAAATATATATATATATATATATATGTATTTAAATTTAAATAACACAATCATTAAAATAATATTTTTAGATACACCCAAAAATTAATGCACCTTAATAAAAGGATAACACCCCTTGTCAACAAAAATAGCATAAAACCCCTTAACGTTTGACAAAAAATAAAGCAATTTTTTTTATGACAATAAGAGCACTTAATGACTCAATTGAACAAGTATATACAGTCCAAATTATCTGCATTTCACATTCAATCTGTATAAAGTTCATTCTCCTTTCGTTTATCCCTCCTCTCTACTTGTTGAAGGGTAAAACTCGGGAGTCAATTTCCAATTTATCTTCTTTTGGAAAGTAAAATATTTATTTTCCGAATCCGAATAAGAAGTGTCTCTATTTGTGAACTGCAATCTCAATTCGCCCCGTCCACGTAATCCACCTGGTCCGGCTAGTTTGCTTCAATTTTCTCTCTCCCTCTTTCACGATCCAATTGCGTACCCAACTTCCCTGCGACCTTCTCGATCTCTATTTTCTCTGAATTCCGTTGCTTCGATTCAATTCTGGAACCAAACTGGAAAATCAAATAAAAAATGACAAGCGCTTCTTCCGAATCAACGGTGGTGCTTGCTCGGGGCCGTTTGGCCAGGCTTACCGCTCACCTACGACCTTCCTCCACTGAGCAACTTGATCACGTACCTTCTCTCGACCCTGTTCCTCTCTCTGCTCAAACTTCAATCTTGCCACCCGGCAACCTCAAGGGGTCTTTGACGATCGTCGACGAGAGGACTGGGAAAAAGTACCAGGTTGAGGTCTCCGAAGAGGGGACAATCAAAGCTGCTGACTTCAAGAAGGTATTTTCTGATCAATGATCTGTGTGTGAAAGCTTCGATTTTGAAAGCTTTTTTTGTGATTGGCGAACTGGAATTTGGTCAATTCTGATCTGTTCGGATTCTTTGAATTGGTTGGATACTTATTTTCTCTGAGTGGGCAATTCTTGTTTATATTAGCGTTCTAGTTATTAATTTTCAGTCATATGCTATTCCAGGTTCTGTGAATCCAAGTATGCATTTGTGTGGTTTGTAATCTTGGTTTAAGTATAACTTATTGTGTTATGCGTCATGGATCTTTTATTGTGATTTTCTAATTGTGAACCTGCAGATATCGACCGGTAAGAATGACAAGGGACTCAAACTTTATGACCCGGGATATTTGAACACAGCTCCTGTCCGATCAAAAATTTCCTATATTGATGGCGATGAGGGAATCCTTAGATATAGAGGCTACCCAATTGAGGAGTTGGCCGAGAAAAGCACTTATATGGAAGTCGCCTATCTGATAAGTGAGTATCTGCAAGAACTATACTGCCAATCTATAACTAATCTACAGCATATTTTTTGTGTAAAACGATAGAAGTTCTAACCTGATTGCTACTCTGGGCGAGCACAGTGCCCAAACCTCTAAATTATGATAATTACATGCTTCAGTTCACGCATCGCATGCATATCTCTATCATTTATTTTATTGGCTCATCTATCTCTGCCTTTTCAGTGTATGGAAATTTGCCTACTGAAAGTCAGTTAGCCGACTGGGAGTTTGCTATATCTCAGCATTCAGCTGTTCCACAAGGAGTTTTGGTGAGGTTCTCTACTATGTGATGATGATGATGATGATGATAGTAATAATAATATTGTCGATTGTTGATCCTAGATTCCTATCTCATAAATGAATCAGTTTGTCACAATATTTAGATTTCTAACTATTAAAAAAAAATTATGATTGTGAAAGGTCAAACGCCAGTTGCATAATTAAATCATATGTTAGCAAAGTTCGAATAGGTTTTTATATATATATATATATACATTATAATTAATAGGTTTATATATTTAATGAGAGAGCTATAACTTAATAAATCCTAACTGAATATTTCAGGATCTTTTTATCTGTTTATTTGATCTTGATCTTTTGAATTTATAGAGATATCTAATAGAAATCCTTTGAAGCTTATAGACAATTATTGAATAATCATCTGTTTGAACGAGCCTTTCTAATCTATTTTATATAATAAAATTCAGAGATACTTTTATTGTTTTATTTGATCAGTTGTAGCTATAAACTTTAGTTTCATTTACTTCGGTTTTAAACAATCTTTCCTCCTTTTTTTGTTTTTTCATCTGATTGTTTTGTTTGTTAATGGGATGTATCTTTTCCTGCATGTATCCCAAGGAGTCAAAATATAGTACTTTTAGCAAATACTAAAATAATAAAGAACAGAGCGATGTTAAAGAATCCCCAAGTTGAATGGTTGATCATTACTGTTAAGTATTATAAGGGTGAGTCCTTACGTTGTATTACATGATTGCCTCTCTTTTTCTTGCAGTTGAAGTGAAATATGGCTATAACCTGAACCAATTTTTGAACAAAATGTCCTAGAAAATTACTTTTTAATTTGCTGTGCCAGTCTGCTTAATCATGGTTTATGGAAATCTTTTCCTATAGTGATCATTTTAAGGGGAGTAATTAAGTATTTTTAATAGAAATATATGTTTATTAAGCTAACAGAGTGTTATCTTCTTACTTTTGTGTTGTAGGATATCATACAATCAATGCCACATGATGCACATCCAATGGGTGTACTTGTTAGTGCCATAAGTGCTCTTTCAGTTTTTCACCCAGACGCAAATCCTGCTCTTAAGGTGATCTAGAGAAGTTACTTTTTAAGTTTTTCAGCTTTTGGACTGTTCCACAATGATGCATGTGTATGCTGGTAAAATCACATAGTAATTTGTAGTTTTGTATTAATTTTTTTGAGGCAATATATGCTTCTCTCATAGTAACTAGTAGAATTTTTCTATTCTACAATTATTTGATGCGTGTTATAATTTGATGCAGGGTCTTGATGTATACCAGTCGAAACAAGTGAGAGACAAACAAATAGCTCGAATCATTGGAAAGGTTTGCTCATACAGTTCTCTTTTTCTTTTACCTCCTCGTTACCCTTCTATCTTGGTATGTGTAATTTATTCAACTAATATTGATGTGTCTAGAACTAGGTCTATAGCTTGCATTGTGTGGAGTTTTGAGCAGCTATTACATTTTTCAGCAGGCCTAATTTATCTATTCAATTTTTCTTTTGACTGCAGATAACAACAATTGCTGCTGCAGCTTATCTTAGATTGGCAGGAAGGCCACCAGTGCTTCCATCCAGCCACCTTTCTTACACAGAGAACTTCCTATACATGCTGGATTCTTTGTATGTCGTATGGTTTTTCTACAGGCTTATTGTTAATATGGAAAGATGTAAAACTTCCATTTCTTATTGATTTAATTTTTCTTCCGAGTGCAGTAAATCATCATCAGTACTTACTAGTGGATTTTTTGTGTGTTTATTATTATTATTATTTGCATGGATTAATCCTTTTCTTTTCTGATGCAAAGTATGAACTATTCTTTAGATGATATAATGATGTGTGTGTGTGTGTGATAATTACATCAGCCTGCAGGTTTAACTCAAATAACATTTTCTTTTGCATGTTTTCAGAGGCAATCGCTCATATAAACCCAATCCTAGGCTAACTCGTGCGCTGGATATTATCTTCATCTTGCATGCAGAACATGAAATGAACTGCTCTACATCTGCTGTCCGGCACCTTTCATCAAGGTTGAAGTTTGACTTTTCTTAAGCAGCATAAATCATTCTATGTTCAGTGTTTCTTAACTACCTTCTACTGTGCAGTGGTGTGGATGTATTCACTGCTATTGCTGGTGCTGTTGGAGCACTATATGGGCCTCTTCATGGCGGAGCCAACGAGGTACCTCTAAATGCTTCATGCAGACTGTCACAAACTTTTCTCTATGGCTTGTTTCTGACCATTTCCTTGAGTAAACACAATATTTTTGGCAAGCATGATAATTTGACCTTTGGTGGTTCTGTAGGCTGTCCTGAAGATGCTGAGTGAAATTGGAACTGTTGAGAAAATACCAGAATTCATTGAGGGTGTCAAAGCCAGGTGATTATTACCTTCTTGTTTTTGGGATCTTATTTCCCGTTATTCGTCATTATTCTAGTATGTTGCCTTGCTTTTTTGTGATTTTGCCTCACCTTTACAGTTGGCTGTGAAAATGACAGTTATAATTGATATACCTATTCTGTCATCATGTGCCTTTTATTTTCTCCAGGAAACGAAAGATGAGTGGTTTTGGACATCGTGTTTACAAGAACTATGATCCCAGAGCAAAGGTCCTAAGAAGGCTGGCAGATGAAGTATTTTCCATTGTTGGTCGGGACCCTCTTATTGAGGTTTTTATCCATCTCATGGGTCTTCTTTGTGCTGAACTGCTGATTGACTATTATATATTCCCGAAGCTTTAAATCTTTCTGTCCATTGGTTATGAATACTATAACAGACCACTAGATTTTCAACTTCGCCTTGGATGTTCTTTGAATGCAGTTTGGTATTTCACCAGGCAACTGGAATCATTCTTGTGGAATACTAGATTGTTACTGGGAACATAAACAAGGGGGAGTATTTTAAGGAACTTGCTTTAGACAATGTTGATTTATGTTTAGTTTTTCATATCATATGTTTGCATAAATAGTCATTTGAACTATCTCATATTTGGCCCAGAAAGAAAGGGGGGGGGGGAAGCTATCCACTTCTGGTCAGGGTCTAGAGTCAATTCTAAGTCTTAAGCTGCTTGTTTCATTTTAAAATTTAGATTATTGACTAATTTTTATAATATTATTGACTAATGTTCATGATACCACGATTTATATCTCACTGGTCACTAGGATAACTTCTACTTCTTTATTTAATGTGTATTCAGTTCAATGTATTTGGTTAACTTCAAAGTTACGGATAAATTTTTTGGCTGTGCAGATTGCAGTCGCCTTGGAGAAGGTCGCATTGTCTGATGAATTTTTCATTAAGAGGAGGCTATATCCTAACGTGGATTTTTACTCTGGGCTAATTTATAGGTAATCTATCATTGGATTCAATTTTTATAAGTAAGGTGGAGAATATATGTAATTCCTCCCAGCCTATATAACAAGGTTTGGAGTGATGATTTTTTGTAATCAGGGCCATGGGATTTCCGCCTGAGTTTTTCACAGTTTTATTTGCTATCCCTCGAATGGTTGGATACTTGGCACATTGGCGAGAGTCCCTGGATGATCCTGATACGAAGATTATGAGACCTCAACAGGTTACTTCCTTTTAAGTTGACTATGCATTTCTTGCCCAGGAAAATTAGAATTGGCCATGTTGTGCTGATCTCCATAGCATTTGATTAACTGAAAAGTGGTTGGCTGCTTGGGTCATTTTAGTCTGCAATGCCTACTTAATGCATATACTTGGGAAACCCTTGCAAAATACATCTTTGAAATGGAGGAGCAAGAAAACAAATATGAACATAAGCACTCTTGAAATAAGAAAGCCTCCCAATCCCTAAAACAGCCATAGCAGAACACTGAATGTAATCAACTTTTTTACTATTGGCTTAGAAATCTGAGCAGTTTGTAGATGGTTTTAGGGTGGGTGGTGGAATAGGGTAGTAGTATGTTCCAACATGTGATGGATTGGGTAAGAACATACAGTAATGATCTGTCTGTATGAAGTATGTTACAACCATGAGGAGGTGATCAAGTAATCGAGCACCGAATTATTTTAGCATCAAATTGTTGGGCGGTGATCTTGTATGTATCGCTTATTTCATTTTTACAAGAAAGTAACTATGACCTAATTAGAAATTGGAACATTAAAAATTTAAAACGCAATAGGACACCCCTGAAATTTCAAATGTTGGACAACAATCCCCAAATACCAAACACCAAACATAACGCGTATTTAGTTACCCCTTATAAAAGGTCATGGACTCATGGGCGTATTTTTTATGTAACGTTTCATCTATCAACTTTATATAATTAAATCATTGTTCATGAGGTACAATGTACTTTCCCCTCTTTGTTTACTAGCCTTTTATGTTGTGTGTTTGTGCCTTGGGTTCTAATAAAAATTGATGGGCAATGAATTATAGATGCCCCCTGGCTTCTAGAAAATACTGATTAATGAAGATTGAACAATTTCAGTTTGCACAAGATGCTCTTTTGTTCCATTCAATTAGAAAACATTGGATGTGCAATATCTAGCCTTTGCTATGAAAATACAGATGCGATAGCCTCTCTGGCTTATTGAAAATGCTGATAAGTGAAGATAGAGTTTCAATTCTCACATGATATTAGATTGTTCCATTCAGTTGGAAATCAAATTGGATACATTTATGCATTTGTTCATTGGAAAGTGACACTGATCATTTGTATGGCTCAAATGTCAATTTGTACATGATAATTTTATCCCCTCTCTAACTTAATGCAGTATAGTAATATTTGTTAATATAGAGGACTCATTGATTAGAAATCATTAAGCATGTTTCCTGGCTATGTGCAATTCTGTTTCCCTGATTTCACCAATCTGTTCTCACTCTAGGCTTACATTGGGGAATGGTTGCGACATTATACGCCAATCAATGAACGATCTGTATCAAGTAATGCTGACAGGCTTGGTGAGTTGGCCATATCAAACGCCTCAAGGAGGCGACTTGCTGGATCTAGCTTATAGCCTTGATCTAGGTTAATCAGTAAAATGCCAAGAGGTGATATACAACTCGTGAAAGCTTATAGGTTTCTGCCTTTTTTTTTTTTGGGTTTTTTTTGGGTAGAAATTCTGACTTTTATTTCTATTAACCTAGACAGTGCATTTTTAGAATCAGGGGCATGTCACTGGATAAATAATGAAGCTGGTATCCGTAGCATGTATTTACAGTTCCAGCCCTCATCTCAGATTTGTATCTGTAGTCTGCAAGAAGTTCATCTACGAATAATTTTATTTCTTAGCCTTGTCTATATGAATGATATTAGTTTCAAGATCATGTGGGTAGTGAAGGTCATATAGTATAATTGATTATAATCTTTAAATGTTATTTATTCTGAATAAATAAAGACGGGTCACCCAAAACCTAATTAATCCACATCTATTGTCCATAGGAATTCATCCGAGGTGGATATTATATTTTTAAGAATAAGGTTTGATGATGTGTTCATTTTGATAATTTATGGAGATAAAACAAAGTAACATGCTGATTCGATTAAAATCAGAATAAATTATTACAAATCCAGAGTATATTTTTAAATTTTTTTTGGGTGAAAAATGATTTGATTATTTTTTTTATTTTGAGAAATTAGTTCAATATTATTATTGATTCAATATATCCGTAGATAATTATCTAATTTTTATCTAAACAACAGGAGATTGATTCGTTTTCCAGAAAAAAGGAAAAAGGACTTTTCACTTCATTTCATGTTTCCAATAAAACAAGTCCATCATTCACATTTATGCTTCCTGGAAGGGAGAAGTAACATCGTTCGTCATTTGTGTGTCTTGAAGCAATTTCAATTTTATTCTTCATGTTGTTATAGCATTTAGTGTAGTTAGATTATGCAATAGCTTTGAAACATTTCCGTTTCTATTTATTAGTTTTTTAATCAAAATGATAATATTGACTATTGAGTGTTACTTTTGATGTGTTATATTACGAATTAAAAAAAATAAAAATATAACTGGTGATCCAAAAGGTGCATTCTCAAATCTCACCATAGCATCCGAGTCAATCAGTCAAAAAACACCTCCAAAAGGCTTACTACAAGAGGCTAATATTCATCAGAATCACAATCATAATCCCAACCGCAATCATCATCGTATCCGCAGTCGTCATCATAACTATCATTGTATCCGCAGCAATCACCGTAACCATCATCATAATCATTGTTACCAAAACTATCATCATGACGATCATCACAACAGCAACCTTCTTGCTGTGCCTCATTCTCATTATCATCTTCTCCCTCTTCAGTCTGATTGTGTTCTTCTCTTTCCACTTCCACTTCCACTTCCTCGACCTCTTCAACAGAAACTTCTTCCACGTTCTCTGCTACTTCAACATCAGTTTCTTCATCATCCTCGTCCTCCTCCTCATCTTCTTGAGTGAAGTCGTGGTCTTCTTCCTCCTCTTCTTCTTCACTGTAAAAGAAAATACAATACTTGAAGCCGAAATCCAGTAGAGCATTAAGCTTCAAGATGAAACTTTTGATGGCCAGAAATGTACAACTGCCATTGGCCATTAAAACAAGAAAGCTGTCACGTATAATTGCTGACAGAAATTTGATTTTAAATTTATTAGAATTTTACCATGTTTGATGAATTCTAAACAGAATTGTTCACTACTGCAAAGATTCATTTACCTAAGGACTAAAGAGTTGAAAATACGTTAAGTCAAAATCAAGTAGGGCATGCAAGCTTCACGATGAAAAATTAGAACAATGATTTTTTTCAAGGATTCCATTTAACCAAATGCACCGTAACACCGAAAAAGGTGCACACTTAAAATGGTATTTACAAGAATAAACCCCAGAATAGAGAAGGATTTTCTTAATTGGGAGAAATATTGATGAAATCCAAGAGAGAAGTAAAGTGGATTTTGATTCCAGAACATTCCTAGCGATTTCTAACAACGAAATTGCCAAACCCTCTATTTCCCTTGATGAATGTAATGGAACGTTTTCTCTCCCAGTTTTGTCACTGCTGTGATTCCAAAAATTGCATGCTTTCACTTCTTTCAGATCTATAACACCTTGAGGCCTCATATTAAACCTACAAGTCTACATGATAAATAGAGGGAGAAGGACTTGAGAGAATTGATCCCAGTTAGATCTTAATTTTTTTTTTGAAAAATAAATTATAAATATTTATTCAGACAATTGTAAATAAAAATTCCAATCATAATTGAAAGTTAAATTTAGAATTTAAATATTTTATTTACAATTAGAACTCTTAAATTTACATTCATTTAACTTGATATTTGTAATTTATTTTCAGAAAATTTATCATGAGCCTAGCTATCATTAATTCCTCTTTTAGACTTAAGTGTCATTCTCCCCTAAATAGATGCTCCAACTAGCTATTTCTTCGGTGCCTAAGCCTCGTCAAGTTGGCGTTTCGCATTTAGAATTCATTTTCCTACCTGGCTGCCAATTTTAGTTGGCTTGACTTGACATACTGGGAAGTCTCAGGTCAAGAACAAAATTAAAAGAACAAAGGAAAGAGAAAAATATACCTGCTTAGAAAGCCTGTCTTTTCCTTAGCCGTTGGATCGCATTCATTATATCCATCACCGCGATCTACAACAGATTCTCAGTAATAAAATGATCAATAAAACCTGCAGCTTAAAGAAACCTTAAAGACACAGAACCAATGTCCAATTGTACAGAGAACTAGAGGGTGGGAGGGGTACACGTTAAGAAATAGCAATACACGGCAATTATTTCAACCATTGCAAGAATTGGTAAAAATGCCCTTAATCTTGTGAATTATTTTTATTTCAATAGAAAGCAAAGCGAGACAGAATGTATATTAGAAATAAAGAAAGAATAAGATTACACAATATCTTTCCTGAAAACATCAGTTAGAGGAAACAGAATCGAACCAATGATAGTTGACGACAAAAAAGTACTCTTAAAACCCATAAAAATCTATAGCATGGCATGTCTAAAGACAGATTTCCCCTTTAAAAACCAACCATTTGCTTCACTCACAGTGACCAAAGAAGATTTTGCATATTGCGATAACTTAACCATCCTTAACCTGCCAAAGCCTGTTAAGTAATTTAAAAAAAAAAAATAATAAAAGAAAGACTTGCAAGGTTAGCACACCCAAAATTCCCAAAGTAAAACAAAAAAGGACAAGTCAACTATTGAGCGACACTGTCCGATAGATAGCTATAATAGTTGTTGAGAAACCCCATGAAAGTTGAATTTATAAAGGATTAGGAATTAATGTTATTGAAAATCTTGGAGCTTATTATATTTGGTAGCCTTAAAAATACTTTGTCGTTACTTCTAAGAATTTAACTAGTGCTTGATCCTGATTTTCATGTATTGTAGATATTAAGAGGATCGAGCCACTCCAACATGTGAGAAAGTTACACGTGAGCCAGCCTCCCCACTCACCACATCTCTATCTTCAAGTCTTCCAAGATTATGCCACATTAACAGGAGGGTCACAAACAGAACTTGAAAAAACTATCGCTTCTTGGATCAGTGATGAAAATATCCCTGAGAAGTTCTCCTGTCATGGCATAGACCTAGCAATTCCTTATCACTTTGATATCTACTAACATAAGATGGAGGCAAAAGGCCTCCACGAATTTCCCACGTATCTTCCACTTCTAGTGTTACCATTGAATCTTAGTTTCTTCACATTTAAAAAGTGTACGAGTCCAACTACTTTAAATTTCTTCCAAATGCCAGAACGGTTTTTACAAAAATCCTCACGAATAAGCATAATACCAATAAACTTCCTTGTAAAGTATCACATGCTGCCAAAGTAACAGTTTGTAGCTATATAAAAAGTAATTAGATTAACGTGTAGAGTTGTAAATAACATACAATCAAATTCACACTGCTCGAGAGTCAGTCGCCACATTCGCTCATAAGCTTCAGTCTCCTTCACTTTATACTGCAAGAGCGTTACATGAGTCACGATAGCTAACAACTACCGTTCTCCTCCCAAAAAACAGCTAAACACATTCAATTACCCAATTACTTGCAATGTAAAGAGATGTATTTGTGTCAGAAAAAGGAAATCTAAATTTACAACAATGAAAAACTGAAAACATTAAAAAAAAAAAATTGTTCATAACTCAGCACGATGATTTATTTTTATTTTTATTTTTATTTTTTTTGCAAAAAGATATCTTACGTGTCATTATTTTATGGGACATATAGAAAAAAATACCTCATACACCTGCTTCCATTTGAACGGCACTTGGTTTTTTCTCTTATTCTCAATCACTTCGTCGGTGTTACCAAAGTGCTTTTCATAAAATGCCTTCCACAATTTATCCGTTACCAGGCTCAAATCTCTCCCCTGCCAAACCATATCGAAATGAACAATTCAGTCTTGCTGTTCCCAATCATAACTAGAGATATCGCATTTATTTAATAAGTCCATCTTACTTTAGTAGATACTTCCACATGATTTAACTGGTCCGCAGAGCAGAGCGGCAACATTCGGTCGAGAAGATAATCGTCAATTCCACCAACATCTCCTAGAAGCCATACATTTTTGAACCATTTCTTAACACACAGATCAATCAGTGATGGCACCATCTTACCCCCGTGAATTTTGCTTGATGTCCTCTAGTCACACTCGCACTGGTCAATAGTGATGAAATAACATTAACTGCCATAAAACCTATTTATACGTAAAGTAACTGACCGTAACTAACACCGAATACTAACTTGGCTCACTAGGAATTAGGATTCAGAGCCAACAGCCAACTCCATTATTTTCAATTTGAAACTCAGCGTCCGTGCAAATTATAAATACCGGTATTAAAAATCGCAGGCAATTAATGTATTTCTATTTTCTAGCCGAAATCCCCGTTACGAATCAATAAATTAGCGGGAAACCAGACAGTCTACAGATCTCCAAAAGAGCAGTTTCCGGCGATCAAAATGAGAAATAATTTCAGAAGCTACTTTTTTTTTTTAAAAAAAAAATCTAAATGCTGTAAATGGATAATGCATTCAAGAGGATCGATGATGAAAGAAGATAAGACTAGGAACTGTGGAATATGGATAGACTGGAAGGAAGACGAAGCGTTATGCTTACATAGAGGAATTTGCAGCAGGGCAAAGAGTCTCCAAGGAAGGAGTGATCAGAGCCTGAGGAAGCCAAGGAAAGGAAAGAAAATCCAACATTTATATTGTGGTTAATTAAAGTAAAGTACCAGAATACACCTCCCGATTATATATCCATCACCTTTTAAAAATATAATTTAATTCACTTTATAAATTATTTTATTTTAAATTATTTTTAAAAAGTAAAAAAAAGTAAAAAAAAATTATATTATTTATTTATTTTTTATTTTTTACTTAGAGGTTATTTTTTAAAATTTTACTTCCTTTAATTTTTTATATTTTTATTATATTAATATTAATAAGATTGATAAAAATAATTTATAAATAAGATTAGAGGAATAAAAATTAAGTTAAAATATATTAAAAAATTTTAAATTTTAAAACAGTTGTATATAACCTTTATCACCTTTAAAACTTTAAATTAACCCCCTAACTTTTAATTTTATTTTTTAAAATTTTATATTATTAATTATGTTATTTTTTATAAGGATTAAAATGTTATTCAACTAACAAATATTATTAAAAAATATTATATTATAAAACTATTTATAATAAATTTTTTATATTTTTTAAATAGTTAAGACATTGGTAAAAAAAATATTATTATCATTGTATAAAATTTTAAATATTTATATTTATATTAATTTTATCCATATTTTTTATAATCAATAGTGTATAATTTTATTGTTTTAAAAAATAAATTTTTATTTATATTTTCATGTTAGATTAATATAATGCACATGATTAAAATATTTAAAATTTTAAATATTACCATATTAGATTAATTTATCTTTTAATACTAGAAAATTATGCACCATTAATAATAAAAAATATAAAAAATAACACAAAAGTAAATATTTAAAATTTTATATGGTGATAATAACTTTTGTTTTTACTAAGAAAAATTAATCTTTTAATCCTCTAATTTTTAAGTCACTTGTAACTCAATCCTTCAACTATGACTCGCTGTGACTTAATCTCTCAACTATAACTCGCCTATGATTCAATCCCTCAACTTTTAAATCACTTATAAATTAATCACTTAACTTTTGTTAATTTTTTTTATGTTAACTTACATCTCACATTAATAAATAAGAAGAGGGTATTTTAAAATAATATATGAGAATTTTTTTATCCCTCTTATTTGATAAAATTTTTTTAAAAAAATTAAAAAATAAGGATCGAGTTATAGGTAAATCAAAAGTTGAGGGACTGAGTTGTAGCGAGTTATAGTTGAGAGACTAAGTTGCAGAGAATTATAGTTGAGGAACTGAGTTACAAGTGAGTTAAAAGTTATAGGACTAAAAGATTAATTTTTTCTTTTGACTATTATTAATGTCTCAACTATTCAAAAAACATAAAAAACTTATTGTAAATATTTATACAATATAATATTTTTTTAATAATATTTTTTAGTTGAATGACATTTCAATCCTCATTAAAAAATAGCATAATTAACAATAAGAGATTTTATAAAATAAAATTAAAGATTAGGGAGTTAATTTTAAAATTTTTAAAATAAAAAAAATTATAGACAACTGTCTCAAAATATAAGTTTTATGTATTTTAACTTAAAAAATAAAAGGTTTACAGAGGAAGTGGGCCAGGTTTTGGGGTCTAGGAAACCGGTTACTAGAATCAAACTGTGCCTCGATTCTCTCTAAAATAGCTTCTGGATATCATCCTCATCATCCATATCCATATACAATTAATCAATTATGCATATTGAAGGCAGAATATTATACAGTCGTTAAGAATAGTAAACAACGAGTTTTTGGGTTAACCTGATCCAAGTGGTGCAATGATATCAAAAGATTAATATCATGGGACTGAGATTTGATTAAGAATATATTTATAAGTTGTGGGGCATATGGAGTGATATGAGATCTAATTTAATTTCTTTTATACTAAGCTCTGTCAATTTTTTCTTTCTTTCTTAGGTGGGTCTCATACAATTCCATCAGATCTTAATTCAAACATTTAATTCCTTTTGACCTTCTTTGTCTGATTATTTTTTGTTTGTTTGAAAAACTGTTCTTTTTTTAAGTAAAAAGAGAGAGAATTTAATTAAGTAAAACTGGAAAATGCTACAAAAGGGGACAAAGTCAACAAAATTACATAGAAGTAGGGTTAAAAGTAAAGTAAGTTCCAGGAGTATGCTCCTCTTATTTGGGGCTTCCCTCCACTGCCCTCTTTTGCACCGCATGGTAAGATTTGAATGGTTAAATTTTATTTTTATTTTATGTTAAAATAAAAACTTATAATAATTATAATTTTTTTAATAATTTTGTTCATTGATAGTACAGATTTAATCTGATTGTTCTAATTTGATATTAAATTTGAATTATTGACATTAAATATATACTGTACAAATTGATGGTGAACAAAATTATTAAAAAATTATAATTATTATAAATATTTATTTTAAAAATATACAGTAAAAAAAAACTAAATCTAAGTGGTTCAAATCTTGCTATATGATGTAAAGGGTTGAAGAAGAGTAGCCAATCCATACTCTAACATGCATTAAAAAAGAAAGAATAATAGTTACTCTCTTCATTCAAAATGTAAAACATTTTTTGAGGAGTTAGATATTAAAAAGTGTAAAGTATTTTTAGTCTTTTGAGGTATAATCATTGTTCCTATTAATAGTGATTTTATATTTATTATATGGTATTTAATAAGGATAAATATGAAAAGATAGAGTTAGTTTGAAAGTAGGTAACTATTTTATTGAGAGTGAGATTTAGTTAAAAATACCTTACATTTTTAATGGAGGGAGTAAGTTTCTAACAAATTTTTTAAAAAAATAAGTTAAAAATATCAATCTAAATTATTACAAATCCAAGAGTATTAATTATAAATAAATATTTAAATATTAAATATAATTTTTAAATTATAATAAAAAATTTTATTTATAATTATTTAAATTGATATTTATAATGTATTTTGTAAAATTTTTTATTGAAAATCTAATTATCATTAATTTATTAACTGTTATTCTCCCTGAAAAAAAATATCCACAGTAATTATTTTATCAGCACTTGCCACAATTTCCGGCACAAAATACCCCAGTTGTAGGAAATATCCAGATGTAAAGTTTTTGGGATGCCAATCAATCAACTTCAAAGTCAACATCAACAAGTCAGCATTCATATCACTTGGCATGTTCTTCCAAACAGTTGCATCAGGGGCACTCTCGTTCCAAAGTGTACATTGCTGATGATCATATGTCATGATCTTTCTACGAAAACGTTTAGAATTATGAGTAATCTTCCTTGATTAATCATTAATCAAAGAAATGCTCTAAGGCGCTGTGTTGCAGGAAGTTCCAGACATGATTCCATTTGACATCTATGTCATTCCAGCCGAGAGATTGAGAAGCTAAACTCATCATTAGAATTAAGATTCCAGAAACAAGACAACATATGGGGTAGATTCATTGGCATTTATAGAAACTTCATTAATGTTCTTCTGAAGAATTGTCTTTGGCAACAGATCGTTGAAAAGGTCCTATCTCCATTGCCCATTATCATCAATAAACTCATAAGACTGGCTTGATGAGCAGCTCATTTCCACGGATATAATTTTATGCTTTTATCATCACTTGGTTTCCATTTAACATGCATCATATATATAGTATATCCTACCAAATATTAGCATTGTTTCTCTATAGTGTAGAAAATATTGATTAATATGTTTAAATGCCTTATTTAAATGCTCCCAGATTAATATCTTTGAATTTATTTTATTTTGGTTTAGTTTTTAGGTGTGTTCCTTTATTTTGGGCCTTATATATAGTGTGCCTTTCTTTTTATTGTGTACGTTATTCAGTTCCAAAAACCTAATGGGTTCAATAAAAATATTATTCAGCAAAGTGATTCTCTTCATGGTATCAGAGTTAAAGCTCGTGACCCGACCTATTTTTTTTTAATCTATCCAATTCATTTTATATCTGAATCTTTCATCTCTTTTGACTAACCCTAATACTCTTTCAAGTCTCTTCATCGCGTTCACGTTTTTGCACGAGAGCATCTATACATAGATCTTTATCGCTACCTTTCTAGAATATTTTTGCAAAACAAATCACCCTCACACTTCTGCATGAGATAGCAACTTCACACAGATCTTTATCACTGGCTTTATGGAATATTTTTGTGAAAAATGACGTTATCTAAACAAGAAGGCACCAAAGATGCCTCCAATCACAACATTGCCACTCTGCTTGATCTAAATCATATCTTCATCCTTTAGAGACTTAGGTGACATGTTGGTGACCCAACCTTTAATCGGAGCCACGAACTATGCGATATGGAGTCGAGCAGTTAAAGATGGTGCTCTGAGCAAGAAACAAGATCGGTATTGTTGATGGTTCCTACACATGAGATGCCCAAGATCTCACTCTCTGTGCATAGTGGGACTGTTGCAATAATATCATACTGTCATGGTTAATCAATTCTGTATCAAAGGAAATTTTAGCTAGCATCACTTTTTCAAAAAATGCGAATATTGTTTGGGAAGACCTCCAGGAACACTACAATGTCACCGATAGCTCCAAGATATACAGCCTGCAACATTTAATCAACTCCCTCACACAAGAATCGATGTCGATATCAAGCTATTTTACACGATTGAAGGAGTTATGGGAAGAGTATTCTGCAGTTGTGCCCTTACCTAATTGGAAGTGCAATTCGTCTCTTGAATATGCAAAGATTGTCCAACAACAAAGGTTGTTCCAGTTTCTTATGGGACTAAACTTATCATACTAACATGTTCGAAGTCAAATTTTGTTGATGAACCCTCTCCTAACAGTAAATTAGGCTTATTCGCTGGTCTGCCAATAAGAGATGCAGCATAACTTAACGCTTCCTTCATATAGCCTGAGTAATGAAGGCTCTGCCATGGCAGCTAGAGGACGTGGTAGGGTCAACAGAGGACGAGCAGG